TGAGTATTACCTGCTCACCTCCCCGTCCTAAGAAACAGCGCAGCACGGGGCGTCACGTCTCGTCTTCCCACCGTTTCTCATCCGCCTCTTGTGGAATTAAAACAGTTTGGAGCCAACGATTTGGTACATCTGGGGTGGGCTTGGGTCCATATTTTAAAAACCTCCAGAGGTGACTCTGACATGGCCACAGCTGAGAACGCTGGCGGGACGGGGGGTGCTTCTGAATTGAGCACAGTCAGCCGGCATGGGTGGGGGCTGGCTCAGGCTGCCCCCTCCTCACCAGGTCCTCTTGTCACAGGGAATCGGCTCACTTGGGGCTGGCTGGGCAGAGCCTTTCTCTGCCCCACCTCCTCTGGGCACCTGTTTATTCCGTTTGTAGGTATCTTATTCTGTGCCCACAGAGCGGGGGACCACCTGGCCTCCTGCCCCACACATGTGCGTGGATGCCCTGCAGGTCAAGTCAGACCGAGTCACCCTAATACTTCCTGCGTGAGTCCTCTCTGCTCTGGCCGTCTGGAGACTTGGTCACTGGCCGTCTTAGTGACCTGGCCTGGGCCCTCTGGTATCTCCTCTCCTCAAAGTTTTCGCATCCCAGAGAAGAATAGCATCCCCGGGGCACCCCAGTCCAGACCTCCGCAGCTCCACTCTCGATGCCCCCCAAGCTCCCACGCGGGTCACCAGATGTGTTTAAACTAAGACAAGCACCTGTGACAGCGGTGCTTGGCATGTGGGTGACTGTGGTCGGTCCCGGTGGCTGTAGCAGCAGGCCTGGGTCAGGAATCTTCCTCCCGGTGGCTGACAGGGTCCCACGGGGCGTTTGGGGGCATTCCTTGATGTAGGGCCTCTCTCTCTTCAACCACTTCAACGTTTCCTCTCCAGCAGCTTTTCTAGGAGAAAATGGTGCTGGATTGTAGACTGGATACAAAAGCGTAGGTCTGGCTGAGGAGTTCCGGTCCCCTCCGAAGCTGGGGTTCCAGGCTGCCCCCGGGGGAGGGTCAGCGTGGCAGATTTTCTGAGGGGTCTTCATTGAAGTGCATGAGAAGATTGCTGGACCCTTTGGTCAGGAACGGAGAGATGCCCCGGAAGGGCCGGAGCACAAAGCTGCGTCTAAACCAGGCTCTGGACGGTTGTCTTTCTCAAGCCCCAAGCTCAGGGCTGTCGCAGAAGCAGGGAAGGGGGTTCCTTAATGCTCCGCACCTGCCGAGCAGACGCTCTTGCAAGTTCGACAGATCGCATCGTTTACAAACTACTCTAAGGGACGACGGTGCGTCACTAACCGCCACAAAGCTCTATGTGCCCTTTTCAGTAAACCCGGGCATCGTACAGGCAGGTCTCTCGCACCAGGACAGGTGCAGGAAAGGCAGCCGGTGTGCGCGGGGCGAGGGTAGGAGACTGAGTCAGCCACACGGGGGTCTTCAGAGGCAGCTCTGGGGCTGACTCGGCGTCCTTGGCGGGTCTTTGGTCCCCTGCGCTTGACCCAGCTGACCCTCAGGGCTGCCACTGGCTCAAGCCTCCTGCCCCCTCCATCTTTTCCCTCCCCTCCGTCTTTCTGAACTGCAGACGTGCCCCTCCCCGCTGAGACACTCGGGGACTTCCCAGACTGTCTGGGAACAGGACGTGCAGCAGGAACACCTCTGTCAGACTCAGCTGTGTCCCGGGCTCACCTTGGGCCGCTCCCCCTGTACCCGTGGGCTCTGGGTGCAGAACCGTGACCTGCGCAGGGAATGCGTGGCCTCCTGTGCACGTGCACCTGCTATGGGAAGCCCCTCTCCTGCCCCCCTCCGGGGCCCAATGTAGATGGCTCCTTCCACCAGGTGACCTCAATTCACAGGAAAACCTTCCTGGAAAAACTGGGTGTCTTTTAAATTTCTTCCCATCAGAGCAGTGGTGGGTGATCCCAGAGGAGGCCGTTGTCTGGTCTCCTGAGCACCTACTGGATACTCTGGTGCTGCCGGAAGGCCCTTGGGGGACTTTTCAAGGGCCCAGCATGGTCCCAGCCTCAGGCTGAATGCCCGGTCCTGATGATCTCCCCAAGCCCAGCACGGTGCAAATGCCGAGCACAGGGGAGGCCGAGCTGCTCCCTGGTCCCCAGAGTCCTCCTGTCCGTCGCCAGCCTCGAGCCGTTGTCAGGATGCTCCCTCCCCTGGCCCCCCCAGCACTGGCATGGCTGCGCGTGAGTTTGGAAGAAAGTGCAGTGCTGGGCCGGCAGGAACGGCCTCCCTCTAGGGGTGCTGGGCTGGGAGCGGGAGGGGCTGGCCGCAGGATCCCGGGTGGGGGACGTCTGACTCCCCCAGCTCGTGGGCCCGGCACAGCCCCACCAGCTTTGGTCTGGGAAACCTACCCGGGCCCCCGGTGGGGAGTGGGGCGGGTGGGGGCGTGATCAGAGGCCCCTCTTGTTTCCTTTTGAGAATTATAATCGCCCAAGTGAGTTCACCAAAGCACGGGGAGCTTTGAGGAGTTTGAAGGACTTTAGTATAACTTGCATTTCTCCAGAAATCCCTGCACTTGAGCGGTTTGTCATCAGTTAGCCGGGAGCCATTCTGCTAAGAGGATCTTTAAAATCAACACCTTCTGTGCTGAGAAACCATGAACACTATGGTGGCTCCTGGAGAAACGCAAACCAGTGGTTCTCTTGCTTTTTTCTGAAACCACCAAAGAGAGCCTGAGCCGGGCCATCACCCAGTAGGATTTGGCATCGTGGTAGGTCCCTGGAAGGAATAAGTAGAAACACCGAAAGTGAAATCAGCCTGCGTTAGGTGGATGGCAAGGGCGCTAGGGTCTCTCCTTTCAGACTTCATGGGAGGGATGGATCCCACACTCCTCCGGTGGCTCCAGGAGGGGCTGGGGTTGGCACAGGCCTGGTGTGCAGCAGCTAACTGCCTGTCTCCTTCTGTGACAGGTCCCTCTGTCCCAGCTGGCCTACAGCCTGTCCTCTCCACCTCAGATCCTCTACAACCCTGCGCAGCAGATCCTGGCCTACGTGGGCTTCTGCCCGCCGCCCACGGCTGCTCCAACATGCTCGTCCTACCCGTTGCCTCTTCAGGTAAGGCTGGCGTCCCCCGCGGAGGTCAGATATGCTCATCAAAGGCAGGGGGTCCCTCTTGCTGGCCACTTGTCAGACATGCCAGGGGCTGGGGTTGGAGGGAGATGGGGCACCTGCGCCCCCTGCCCCTGGTCTAGATGATGCTGGGGGGCGCAGCTGCCCCAGCTGGTGAGGGGTTGGGGACTGGCTGGGGGAGACGTGACCTCCTCATGGGGATGGCTGACGGCCCAGCCATCCATCTTTTCACTGCACGTGGCCCTCGCGATTTCATGGGGCTCCAATGCATCTGGCTCTTGTAGCCCATTCTTGTAGCCCACGTACCAGCTGCCACAGGCTTGGGACGGTGTCCTCCCAGAGTGGCTGAGGACGTGCCACGGGCTGCCGGCATAAACGATGTCCCATGAGCACAGCCAGGTTGTTCAGGCTGAGCCTCGTGAATTTGTCAACATCCAGACAAAACCTGGCCTACGCGGGCTTCTGCCCACCGCCCACGGCTGCTCCAACATGCTCGTCCTACCCGTTGCCTCTTCAGGTAAGGCTGGCGTCCCCCGCGGAGGTCAGATATGCTCATCAAAGGCAGGGGGTCCCTCTTGCTGGCCACTTGTCAGACATGCCAGGGGCTGGGGTTGGAGGGAGATGGGGCACCTGCGCCCCCTGCCCCTGGTCTAGATGATGCTGGGGGGCGCAGCTGCCCCAGCTGGTGAGGGGTTGGGGACTGGCTGGGGGAGACGTGGCCTCCTCATGGGGATGGCTGACGGCCCAGCCATCCATCTTTTCACTGCACGTGGCCCTTGCGATTTCATGGGGCTCCAATGCATCTGGCTCTTGTAGCCCATTCTTGTAGCCCACGTACCAGCCACCACAGGCTTGGGACGGTGTCCTCCCAGAGTGACTGAGGACGTGCCACGGGCTGCCGGCATAACCGATGTCCCATGAGCACAGCCAGGTTGTTCAGGCTGAGCCTCGTGAATTTGTCAACATCCAGACAAAATTTACCTTCAGAAGCGGCCGTTCCGTAGGGCTCCTCGGACACAATGCTGTCGATGCAGGACTATTATGGGAAAGGGCACTGGAGGCCAAGCTCCACTCTGTGCAGCAGCCTCTGCCTGTCCCAGGTCCATGCCTGGTTTCCCTTTCTCCTCTGTGTGCCAGGAAGCTCTGACGCATGGCTGTGGGTGGACCAGGCCCTGCGGATGTGCATTTCCCCCTCAGCACTGTGGGTGCTCAGGCCAGCGGGCACTCAGGCTGGGCACCCTGTGTGGGGGTGCGCTGGCCCTGTCAGTGCCGAGCAGCCCCTGCCTCTGCCACAGCATGCGGGATTCCCCCAAAGCATGCGGGATCCCCCCAAAGATAGCCCAAACTGTCTTAGATGTCTTCCTGTGCCTGCTGAAGGCACAGAGAGACCCCCCAGTCTAGACAAATCTAGGCTTCCATTTTGGGGTGGGGAGCACCTGCTCACAGCCAGATTAACCTGGCATTTCTTTATGCCAGCACACTCAGGAGCGTAATTACATACATGTTGATAATCAGATTTGGGAGGAGGCAGATCAGACGAGGCCCTGCGTGTTTCCGCAGGAGGAAGGCAGCAGGGACGGGAAGGAAGTGTTGTAAGTGCTCCGTCGAGGCCATTAGCAGAAAAAAACACTCCCACGTAGAAGGCGGCGGGAGTGCGGCAGGTCCTGGGCTCGCTCTGAGCAGCCTGTGACAAGGACACTCTTAAAGGACTCACCTTCCTTGTGCCCAGCAGCCTGCTCATCTCAAAATACAGGGGCACTGATGAGGTCTTGTGAAGGAGGACGCAGCAGAGGTTCAGCTCGCACCCTGCTACCTGGCGATCTCTTGTCTGTCCCCCTGATGGGGGCCCTGTGGGCAAGGCCTGTCTCCAGTGAGCCCCTATGTGTGTTTGCGGGGGGGTTATTCCATGGCTCCTGGTGTTTTACTCCATGGCGTGTGGTCATTTGCTCCATGCCTTGTGGTGGCTTACGCTGTAGTATGTGGTCATTTATTCCGTGGCTTGTGGTCGTTGGCTCTGTGGCTTGGGGTGGCTTGCTCCATGGCTTTTGGCCATTTACTCTATGGTTTTTGTGGTCATTTACTCCATGGCTTGCCTGGCTGCTCATTTCCAGTGAGGAACGGGGTGGACACTCAAGGGGTGGGAGCCAGAGCTCCCAACGGACCTGAGGGAATGTTCCCTAGAGGCTCACTCTGTGCCCTGACAGATGCGTGCCTTTGAGAGATAGAAACGGAGGTGAGCAGGGGCCTCCGCCACTGATCCCGAAAGCCCAGGCTGTCAACCCCAATGTCACTGTCACCCCTAAGCAGAAAAAAATGAAGAGGTTAGTAGACGGAGAAAGACTGGAAGTTTCATTGATTGAAAACCTGTGTCATTGCCCAACTTTTCTTTGACGCCTGGAATCACTTCTACCTGACCCTGCGCGCACAAGCCGGGGTTCCGCCGAGGAACCGACCGGCAGGCCGGTGTGAGTGCATGAACTCCGTGCCCGCCTGCGCGCGCGGAGCCGGACGGGCTGATCTATTGTAAGCGACTGACTCTGGTGGCGGTGGGAGCTGCAAGTTGGGAACCCGCAGGGCGGGGGCCTCGGTCTTCTGCTCTCGAAGTCTTCAGCGGAGCGCGCGAGGCCCCCACGTGAGGGGACGACCTGCTCTACCCAAAGTCACAGCCTGGAGTGTTAATCTCATCTGAAAGACGCCTCCGTGGGAACGCCCAGGCACTGCTGGGCCACGCGCGTGGTTGGCGCCCTGGCCCGGCTCAGCTGACACGAAAGGAGCCACCGCGCTAGGCTGGGAGTGTCGACGCCCTTGGTCTTCTCTTTAAACTCGAAGTGTCGGGTGAGCCCAGGGGACCCGGCTCCCAGTCGCCCCAGCTGTGGGTGCTGGAGTCTGGTGCAGGCTCCGGGGCCGAGGGGTTGAGGAGGCCGCGGGGTGAGGCTGGAAGAGCAGACTCTGTGCCTTGGCCCCTCTCCTCTGCTGGGGCCGGGACGGAGTGGACGTGTCCCCTCGCGTGACGCTGCTGACAGCGCCCTCTCTGTTTGGTTGCAGCCCTCCGCCGACCTCTCTCTGTCCGAGGACTCGTGGCCTCTCTCCCAGGCCAGCTCCGGCTCCAGGCCTCCTCCCAACGCCCCGTCGCGCCAGGCACCAGCCTATTTCCTCCCAGGAGAGAAACCACCTCCCTACGCACCCTGACACGGAGGTGGCAGATAGAAAATAGCTTGTTTTGGGTTTGTTAAAAAAAAAAAATCAGCACTTAGACACCCTGCTTCTGTGGCCGGCCTCCTAGAAAATCCAGAACATTCCAGAAGTCTGTGCCCTCCTCCGCCTTCCTGGGCACATCCCCAGCAAAGAGAGGCCACGGCCGGTGGCAGGAAGTGGAGCCCAGCTGACCGCGGCCCATGTCACCTCTGGTCCCTGCCGCTCCCAGCGTGGAAACTAACTCTGAGTGTTGCTGGAGATCCCCACCTGGAGTCCGCTTGCTTGAAAGAGGCTGTTCTGGGTTTGTCAACACTTAGAGGAAACAGTTTCCTTCCCTTACCATTCTCTTAATTAAATGCGCTTTCTATGGTTATTTTGCAAAGGGAACACGGCTGCTGTATCCCTGCGTGAGGACTATTTTTAGGGGAATGTGTCGTATGTTTATTATTTATACGGTGTTTCCCCAGGAAGGGGCAGGGTCTCTGCCCGCCCCTCAGTGCGTGTTCTCCTGGCATTCGCTTGGAGCAAGAACACGCTCTGGCTCGAGTATCCAGCACTGTTGCTACAGGCCTGTGTGTGCCCTGCTTGTCTTTCCCAACACTGGGACACCATCCGCCTTCTCCCCTGGTGACACATTCCCATTGAGCTACTTCTTACTCGTGGCATCATTCTCTGTGGTCGTTTCTGGGGCTGTCCCGGGGCTCGGAACCTCCTTGTCTCTGAGTCTCCAGCCGCTGCTCTAAGTGGGATGTCGGGGATGGGAGTGGGGGGTGTTTCCTGGGTCCCTCCGCTGAGAGCCTGGGGCTGCACCTCTCCCTGTACAAACCAGGAGCTGCGTGCTGAGGCCCCACCTGTGCCCGCCTCTGCCAGACACACCTGGTGTGGCAGGTGAGCACCCCTGGAAGTGGCTAGGCCCGGGGCTGCGTGGAAGACCAGGGCCCCATTTGCAGGACACGCCTCCCCGGAGCCTGCCACTTTCCAGTGTTGACTATTTCGAGTGAATACAGGGAGGCTTTCTCTGAACTGTCCCAGAGATAGATCCTGCCACGGGAACGTCCTGCCGTCCCCTCTGAGGACCCGCCCCGCCCCGGGCAGACTGTCACAAGGCACCGTGCTTCTCAGGGCCCCTCATCTTCCCCAAACCACTCGCTCTCTGCTAAATGGGCTCCGTCTCTCCCTGTGATGACGGCATATGAGCCCCTAAACCTCACTGCTCTTTCGGGTATTCACGTTTCTCTCCTGTGATGCCCCATGTGTGTAATAAACTGGCTCACCGTCTCCTGTTCATCTGCCTGCTGTCAGTTTATTTCACAGAACCAGCTATGGCAGCTGGAGGGTACACGGAGGTCTTTCCTCCCATGAACAGCCCTGGGTCTTTGGGAGAAAAGAGATAGGTGGGGGCGAAGAGGATGCAGTCGAGATGTGGCCTTCCGCTCCCCCTGCTGGCCACAAGCCTCAACTCTGTCTGACACTCAGGTTCTCACCCGACACAGAAGCGTCACACGTCCCATCTTCTGAGCACAGAAGGTTCGCCACGAAGCAGGCACCGCATGGTGCCAGGCTGGCGCGTAGAGAACCGGGGACGGGCCAGGCCCAGGAGTTGCTGGCTGGTCTCTGAACGGCAGCAATGGACACTGGTCTGTGAACCTAACACCATTTATTATTATTATTTTGTTAAATTTAGCCTCATGTGGGCTGGCCGGTTAGCTCAGTGGGTTAGAACGCAGCCTTCTAACACCAAGGTCACAGGTTCAGATCCCTGCACCAGCCAGCTGCAAAAGAAAAAATGCCCACGAGCCTGTTTTCCCAGAGACTGTGATCTTGTCCCCTCCTTGGTGGTGACTGACGTTGGGACTGGCACAGCCCCGGCTTCCCCAGGACTGGGAACAAGGCCCCATCCCCGTCAGGACTGGGAGTGTGGCCTTGGCCTCTTTTTCGTCCTGACGCTTCTTTGCAAGTTGAGGTCCAAGGCCACTGAGAACTCCAGGGATAGAAGCCAGCGCGCTTGTCGGTCTGGAATTCTGGTCACGCGATCAGTGGCCAGTCTTGCTGAGGGTTTGACTTGCTTTGGGCATATCTTTAAAGACAGCAAAACTAGCAAAAGTGACCCAACTGGCTGAAGCGGAGCTTTCGGACACAGCGAAATAACGTAAAGCGTTGAAACCTCCTTTGTCTGTCTTTTTAGTTCCCAATTTTGGTGCCAACAATCTTGCAGCCCCCTGGCTTCCAAAGCCCCTTTGGATTCTCAGCCAGAGTCTGAGTCCCCCTTCTCGTCTCTCCTGAGTCGTCCAAGTCCACCCGGCGATGCCCATGGCTACTTGACCCCCAGGCCCTGGTTGAAGCCAGCCTCCGACAAGCTGAGAACAAAGCCCAAGCCGTGGCTCGGGTGTCTCCACCCAGGTGGCTCTTCCAGGAAGGGGCAACGTCTTCTGCCATCACCAAAGAAACCCGCTTGGACATTGCACAAAACAGCGATGTGAACAAGAGAACTCAGATGCCTGATTGTGTGGCCCTGTCTAGATGACGCAACAGAACGTGGGAGATCCTTGTTTCCGATGGCTGTAAAGAACCAGAGAGGTCTCGTGGCCACTTGGGGGAAGGAAGGCAAATCTCACCACCGCCCTTTGCAGCCCAGTCATGTCTTTGGCTCCCTTTGGAGGGTCACACGGACTCTGCCCTGGCCTGGGGGAGGTGGGGAGCATGGGGACGTCATGCCCTGGGCTGCAGCTTGAGGGGTGTCGGGGTGCCAGCTTCCCATTTCCCTAATGCCAGCTCTGCGCAGAAAGGCAGAGGACAGCTCATCAGTTTGTAAGTCATGCGTGCAAATGTGGGGACTTTGAATACAATTCAGGAATTAGACAGCCACAGACATTCTCATTTGTATTGAGAGTTATGTTAGGATATTAGCAGATCATCCTCCTCACAATTGACCTAAGTGTCCTCCGCCAGCTCCCGGCTCTGGGAGACGCATGGATTGTGACTCCCCTTTCCGACCTGTCCCTCCTGGTCGGCCTCCATTCCAATGCCACGCATTTCCCGGTAATCTCTGCTTAGACTTTACCTGGGTGTAACCCGGCCATTGCCGCCTGTGTCAGTGATGTGATTCCAAACTCACATCTGTGAAGACATCACCCTCACCTGTTTGTTTTGCTCAGCGTCAGAGCAGGTTCTGCCAGCTTCGTCTTCCCATAGCATCTGTCAGGAGATGCTGGGCCTTGTGTGACCACCGTCCTTGTGCGTTTGTGAGTCGTTCCAGATCCACTGCGGGCCTTGGGGCCGTCGGCACGGTGTGGAGCGTCCGCATGTCCCCACTCCCCCAGCACGAACGGGGGCCCCCGCACAGCGACGACAAGGGGTCGTCTACTTTTCCTGTGGGAGTAGGTTCAGAGAGTTGTAAACGGGCCGGAGGCGCTCAGGGGTTCTTCTCAGAGACTTATCAGCAGGAGCGTCCTCTGGGGCTGGGGTCAGGAAGCCTTGTTCCGTGGAACGAGCTGGAATTGAGCAATGAACGAGCAATGAATTGGAGGCTCTGCAGGCTGCAGGGACCAGGCACTCACGCGCCTGCAGAGGGGAGAGCACCCTGCCATGCTCCTCCCCGGGTTCTCACCGCATCCCAGGGGAGGGTCTGTGGACACTGATGGCACTGTTGCCGTGTGTCTGGTGTTTCTCTGCGTCCTGGGCACTGGGGGCTCTACCTCTGACCTCCCGAAGCTGGCCCAGCACTGGCTCTGGGGAACCTCTGTCCCCTGGAGCCTCATGCCACTCCCTGGAAGCCGAACAGCACGACACACGTGAGGAACCACCCTCCCCCTTGTGCGACCCCGGGTCAAGGTCGTGCAGCACCGGGAGGGGGCATCAGAGTGTCCCCAGGACTGTTCTCCCAAACCCACATTCCTCTTCCCTGGCCGGGTCGCCTAAAGAGCCAAGAGCCGTGAAAACATTAAACTCTAAGTCAGCAGTGTTGTTCTTGGCCACAAAGATGTCTCAGTCCCTTACCCCAGCCACAAAGGATGTAAGCAAGTCAGTCACACACCCTTGGTCCCCAGAGCAGCCCCCCACCCTGGCCACTGCCCTGGCCCATGCCTGACCTACAGTGTGGGCTGGGTCCATTCTCGGGTGGGCCCAGCGCTGGCAAAGCCTCCGCCCTCACGTGATGATGGAGCCTGGCATGGCCCCCTCTCGAGCCCCACGTTCGCAGGGCCCTCCTGGGTTCGGTCGTGCTGGGGTCTGCTGCCTCCCCTCAGGGAGCACTGACACCCTACAGCGTGGATGAGCACGGGTGCTCAGTGAGGGGCTGGGCACAGCAGGTCCACGTTGTGTGGTTCCACTTACCTGAGATGTCGGAACAGGAAAGCCACGGAGACAGAAAGCAGACAGGTGAGGGGGGTGGGGAGTGATTGCCAGTGGACATGGAGTCATCTTCTGGGGTGATGAAAATGTCCTGGGGCTGGACAGTGGAGGTGACTGGACACCTTGTGAATGCACTGAAGTCCAGTGAACGGTAACTCCTACAGCGGGAATACTATCGTCTGCGAACTACATCTCAATGAAAAGGGGACACGATCACTGAAGCACCCCCAAAGCTGTCCTAACCTCAGCGAGTGCGTGGGATGCATCCGGCGGTGCTGACGGCACACTCCATGCTCAGTGACCAAGAGCGATTGTCACTGTCACTGCAAAGGGCGACTGCTGGCTGCATCTCAGAGCACTGCCGTGTCCTCTGCCGCGGGAGCACTGCCGTGTCCCCCACACCTGCCCTGACCGTCCTGCAGCCTGATGGGTAGCAGGGATGCCCTCCAGATTTTGGGGACCCACAGAGTTGTGTGATGCACAGAGGTGGAGAAAAAAGTCCAGGGGGGCAGGGTCTTCACTCAACTAGCGGATCCTTAGGTGGCAACAGCTACATATAAATTTCCTCTTTCCAAAACATTTGAGTTATGAAATTTAATGAACATGCAGAAAAAGTGCTTAAGGAGTTCGTCTGGGTGTGGCTT